CTTTTGTTCCCCCTGTCCCCGGCTTTCATCATGTTGTCGTTTGCATCTTTGATGTTGAGGTCGGTTAAGCCTCGCTGTTTTTCATTTTTTACCATTTTTATTGAAAAAATATCCAGGTTTTAAAGGCAAAACCAGCATTAAAATGTTTCCTGCTAAAATGAGACACTGATGTTTGGCACTTTATGGTGAACAGAGTGGCTTGTGATGAGGATGACATAAATACATGGCATGTCTTCTTTTATATATTAGTGTGAGATTATTGAGAATAACCAAAGTTATGCAAAATTTGTGTAGTCAGCATGCATGTGCCTATACAATGTGTGTGTGTGTGTGTGGTAGCATGGGCATGGTCTCGCACTGGACACTTGGCGGTTAAGTAGAGTTGAGGCTGAGCTGTGACCTCGTTCCAGTTAACTGCTCCTGAAAAAAGCAAGTCAGCCGAGTGTTAAGAGTAAGTGGCATACGCCGTCTGACTCAAATCACGTCTCATCAGAAGTGCCGCGCCTCACGACCACAGGGCAGTGCCACCATCTTTAACCTCTGAGCCGCGCTCTCACATCAAACCGCCGCCCCTCCGCCCTCACCGAGCAACAGTCAGAACGGTCTCAGTTATGCAAAAACACTCACGGTTAACCGCTCACATGAGATTTGGGGCTGGGTACAATTTAAAATGTTTCACCACAAGCATCTAAAACAGAGAGTTTTGATTGAACAAGCACAATCCCTCCATTTTCTGTGCTTTAATTTGTGTATAAACATTTATTTCAATCATTTTTCTTTGATGAAAGGGCAAAACTAGCATTTAATAAATGGTCATTAACATGTATTTTACACTATAATGTAGTTTTGTGTAAGAGCGTGAAGACACTTATAAGTAGAGATTGCTATAATGCAAAATATTTCTTCATTGATGCTTAATGGTTCACAAATAGACTTTAAATTTCCTATCTGTGTTTTACTAGTGTGTTCTTTAATAAATGTGCATATGCTGCTTATTGCTACTCATAAATGCAAATGATTTACTCCATTACTTCTCTGCATCAGCTTTATTACAGTTTAAACAAAACAATCATCTAAAAATTGTCTGAAAGTCCAAGAAATTATCATTAAAATCAGGAAATATCTGATGAAAAAATGTGTAAAGAGTAAGTTTAAAACCATCGTAATGTCAAGTTGCTCTTGAAAACGTAGCGATTCAAGATTATAAAAGAGATGGAATCCACTTTCTATTTGCATGTCCTCACCACACACTGCCATTAGTGAGTGAAAAGCTCTGAGTTAAAAGCTTTAAAGAGCCTCCTTTCTCCATCCTGTCGCTGTGATAAAGAAGCAGCATTTTGCAAAAAACTAAAAAAAACCTTGTATTTCATAAAACGGAGAGATTGCATCGCTGTCAAAACTCAGGTATCGTATCAGAACTGGTATAACTCATAACTGGCGTGGCTAAATGAGTCTGTTTGACAGAGAATAATGTGAACAGAAGTTGAAACAAACACAACTGTCAACTTTGAGAAGCCACCTGTTTCGGCAAATTCAAAACAATACGGCGCCGTTAAAAACCGAAACACCAGCCATAACAGCGACTTAAGATACACACTGTAATTACTGCACATACAGTATTGAAACAGCCACCAGAAACAGCTGTTGCGTGCTCTTTATGCAGCTATTAAAGCTGGCAGGGTCGTCCCGCAGTAAAGAAAACACATCTGCACACCTACAGCACATGATGCTTTCCATTTGCATGCTACATTTGAAATTTGAAATCTAATATAAAGATTCAAACGGAGCACCGAATCGACCACAGCGTCTGCTACCTGAGCAACCAGCATGCATGCAAAGTGAGCCACGCCGGGACAGAAACAGCAGCACGGATGAAAAGTGCTGGAATTATAAAGTGTGGAGGAATCAGAAGAACTCGGGGGGGGCTTTCTAGCAAACCAAAAGATTCTGGCCGCTTTCTCAAAGTGCCCCTAATCCACTCTTAACTCCATTACATGTGGGACACTTTCGTTAAGAAGGCGCAGATAAGCTTAACAATGGTGAGGAGAGCCCATCCCGAACAGCATCGCATTGTCGACGTGCTTTAACACAATTATCAACAAACACACAAAAAAAAGGGGGCAGCAACCGCATTTTGGGGGGAAACAATTTCAATTTTAGATATGGTTCCAGACGGAAACTGGGCCACTGCAGGCTTTGATGTCTTAATTGTGTGTGTGTGTTTTTTTTTTTTTTTTTTTTTTTTTTTTTAATACCGAGGAAACCGAGGCTTATTGATGGAACAAAAACAACAGAGGCTGACGAAAATGGAGATGATGTGACAAAGACAAGGAATAAAAACCAGAGAAAGGGAAGAAGACAGGAAAAAGGAAAGCCAGAGAGTAAAGAGGAATGAAGGAAAGGCGAGATATGGTGGAAGGGGAGTGACAAATATGCCTGAGATATAGAAGGGAGAGTGACAGAGCTGAAGTGCTGTGGAATCCCAGTTAAATAGGCCTTGATTAACTGTGCCACGGGGTCAAAGCCGGGCCTCTGTCTGCTGGGGCTTGGCTTAGGAAAATTATATGTGTGAGTGTGCTGGTGTACTCTGACTGTAATTTGCACTTCTGAGACATGTGAGTACAGTTTGTAAGACATGATACACAACCGGCTGTCTGGTTGGTTTATAGGGCAGCTGTATATTCTCCGCGATTTGAAAGTGAAGACAACCTAACGGACCTGCGGTACGAGGACGGAGGACGCCGAACACGGAGCGTTCTGGTTTCTGAATGCGATGATTCATGCAGCTCAGCCCTAAACACGCTGTGAACTTTATTTATTTGGTAGTTTACTTACATTGCTAAAACCCCAAAACCAAAAGGCGGGTTTAAAAGGCATGTTGTGTGAAAAAAAATCCCCAAATTTTTGCCATTTTTGAGAACCAGAAACTGAAAAACAGAGATTTTTTTAATTTTCCCACAGCCCTTGAACTGCTCATCTGTGATGTGCTGCCAAAAAATAAGAAAAGTATGGAAGCAAATTAAATATGCAAGTAGTAAAGCATCTGTAGTATGTAGTAGTGGTAACACCTGTTAGACATGATTCTACATTTTTTCAGTTTTTCTGATGTAAGTATTAAAAGAAAATTTATTTTTTCTTTTTAAAAAAATAAAATTGTATGGCATTCTAACTTTGTTTTATCGGAGATTTTTTGCTGTCTTGCTTAAAAATAAGGATGCGATAAATATCACCCTCATATGGTTAGCTTAGCTTAGCTTAGCTTAGCATAGCATAAAGAGGCAAATCACCTGGCCCCCTCAGAAGATATATAAAAAAATGACTTTCAGCACTGCATAAATTTACCTAATAATATGCATTTTGTTTAATCTGTATAAGAATTAAAGTTTACAATGACATGCTGTGACTTTTACTTAGCAAAACAGATTAAATGCTAGAACATATGATGTATTTTTTCCGTTCTGTAGCATTACTCCCTGTAGCATTACTCTCTAGGAAAAATGTATTTGTTGACGTGATCATAATCTATATGTAGTTACCATCAAACATTCTGGTAATATGCAATAAAACCTCTCATTCTGTGCATGATATGATTTGATGATGTGATACGATTTGCCCAAAACAAGCAAGCCTTGAAATACGAGATCCCGAGACAGCATAACTTAACCAGGCCTTTTTATCATAATGACTGATACATGGCCCATAAAGAGAGGCCTCAAGACACATTTTCTGCTTGTAATCTCATCAAAAATGCATTCAAAAATTGACAATTGATTGCCTATAATCAACACACTCATATATTAAGACACACTGCGATCTATATCATACATAAAAGCTGCTATTAATTTACTTTATTTGGGCGCACATCTGCAGGCGTCTTCGTCTTAAGTTGTGATGGATGAAGTCAGATTTATTAAACCCACAGGCTTGCCACCAGGTTTGTACATGATACTGCTTCATATATTATAAAGTGCACATCTGTTTGTGCATGCACATATAACTGTGATGTGAAATAAATGTTATTCGTGACACATCGTTTTCTCAGAGTCACTTACTCTCTGTGATCTATGCTCTGCTTCAGCAGGGAGGAAGCATCCTTGAAGACACAATACCTGAATAAGCTTTCTCCTGCCGTAGCTATGCACAATAAATTGAATATCAATCCCGATCATGATTTGCAAATGAAACGATCGGTTAAGATATTGATGTTTCAAATTCGCGCTCTTCTCACAGAAAACTGCTGCTTTTCGAAGCAAGTGCTTCCTTCACTACCAGCCAGCCACGGGGAGCAATTGAGATGTTTTGGCTTTAGTTTTGGTGAGCTGTCGTGCTGCTGAGCACGCAGCCCTGCAGCAGCAGCAGCCTGTGCAAAGATTTCCTGGATGTTGCAGCTGCGGTCCACGGTAGACTAGTAATATACAAAACAGGGAGCGGAGGGGCAAAATCAAAAGTCTGGAGCAGAAAGAGAGGACCATGTCCACTGAAATGGATCATCATCTGAGGAAGCATTGTTTTGGATTTAGGGCAAGTGATGCTGAGCAAGAACAAATGATATCCACAGAGTGCATGAGGCTCGTGTTTAAGGTGAACAGTAACACGATTAACTTATTCAACTACTTAAAAAACACCACAAACTGCAGAACGATGAACACCTGATAGCTCACTGAATCCTCATCTTTGTCCAAGTTTTGGTACAATTTTATTTCTATTTTGCTTCTATCAGATGCACTAAAGTCTTAAACAATAGTTTTGAAGATGGAAGTAAAAGCAGTGTTCTACTTCTTTATCTTCATAGTTTTTGTGCAGCTTAAATTTCTAAGACTTTGAATGGGAGCAACCGTAAGCAGTTTCCCCTCAGGGATCAATAAAGTTGTTCTAATTCTGATCATTTGTGGTATGATTTTAGCCATAATCGTGGAGCCCTAGTGTGCACATCTGCCTGTGAACATCTGTACATGTATATCTATAAAGGGCACCACCACTGAGTCTGTTACAGGCCTTACCTGGGGGCTAACGCTGGGGCCGTAGCCCATGCCAGGCGAGTTCATAGAGTGGGGCCCCATGGGCGAGCTGATGACAGAGAAGGGCGAGGCCAGGCCATTCATCGGTGAACTCAGCGTGCTGATAGGAGAGTGGAGGGAGCCGGAGGGCCCCATGGACGTCGGGCTGAGTAGGGACGGGTGCATACCACGGTGGGACGTAGGTGAGCCCAGGGGCGAGGAGGTCACCTGGCCCGACGAATCTGTTCAGGAAAATCCCCCAAAAAAGAGACGACACGTGAGAAAGAGATCATTTTAACATCTTAATCACACTCCATCATTCAAGGCCGAAACCTACGCACCTCGAAAGCTGGTATTTTCAACATTAAGCTCGTTGTTCATGAGCACATTCTGATTGTTTTTAAAGGACGCTTTCACACTTGGGCTAATTTGAGTTCTTCCCGAGCCGAGTCATTGGCACCGAGCGTCCAGCACATCTGGTGAAGTGTGAAAGCAGTTGTTGAATCTGAGCGCTGTCCAGGAAAATGGACAATTCAGCAAAAAACACTTGAGACAATTAAATCCAACGTAGCTCGTAGTGGAAAAACAGCGAAACCTAATGTAAGAGTCAACGCTGCTGGTGCTGCTCTCACAAACTGTTTCTCTGCCTCAAAACTTCAAAAACGCCTCCTTCAAGGATCCAGGAGGTCAGTGCATACAGTATATCTATAATGCATATGGGTGATGAGTGGTGGTAGTGGGCCCGAGGGAATTAAAAACATGACCTTGCACCAGAGCCGAGGAGAAAAACGCAGCGAGAGAGAGAGAGCGATAAGGATGAGGTCAGATGTACAACAGCTCATCTGCTCCCTCTGTCTCTCGTCTCCCTCCTAGACTCAGTCCTAGTCTTTACCTTGGCTAAGCGGGCTATCTTCCCATCAGCTGTCAACACAGAAGATATGAGACAGACAGGAACCCGAGCAAAGAAGCACTGACATCCAGCGGTATGTCAGTGAGACTTTGGCATCGGGGTTATACTGAATGTGTACTGATAACAACTCCCTCCCTCCTGGCTCATCTTTCAACACCACCGGTCACTGCTCTTTCTTACTTTCCATTCACGATCGAGTCCGTCTTTGCTTCGATTCCCTTTTTTCCATGTCTGACCTTCTGCTCCTTCTGTTTTCTCTATACATCAAGACAGCTGCATCCCTCTCCTTCTGCACTTCAATTTTTCTTACACTGTTTACTAAATATACTGCAAGCAGCTAAGACGCCTCAGACAAACTTGAGATTTTCAGGCAACGTGACGCCGGAGCAGCGCAAATTCTATTCCAGCTTTAGGCGCATTATTTATTCACTGCAGTTATTTTTAAACCTGATTTGCACCACAGTTAACTAACTGAAGACGCTTCTGATGACTGATTAAGCCGTTTTTCAAGCAAACACTTGACGGCTCCAGCTTGTCAAATGAAAAGATTTGTTGCTTTTTCTCGTCTTACATTAAACTGAATTGAATGTTTTTTTGTTTTTAGACTGTTGGTCAGACAGAATAAGACATCTGAAGTCATTTTAGACTCTATTAGTCAATCAAGAAAATACAATCCATGATAAAAAATAATCTGACTTGCGACTTGATTTGCTTGATTTTGCACAAATAGTGATAAAACATAAGACAATGAAATTCAGAAGTCCATAATAAAAGTAATAAATAGGTCAGATGCCAGTTAATTATATGAAACTACATAAAAACTACACAAAAGCAAGTCTGAAAAGATCAGTTTTAAGGGTTTTTTTTGAAGCTCTGACCTCCTCTGGAAGGCAATAACACAAAATGCATCACCTTGGGAGCAAAATATGAAAATATTGGAACCAATGTCTGTAAGTTTTCTCGTGGAAATCCCAAACATGATGAAGCATCTTGTGTATGTTCACATGTTTTAAATACCCTCCCACCTGGCTATCTGACTTTTCTAAATTCGCCCCTACAGCTGGCACCTTCACCTCGGTTAGTCCGTTGTCCTGAAACAGCCTCTCTTTTATATCCTGTCCTATTTTGACGCTACAACTTTGCTCCCTCCGCTCTGTGCAGCCGGGACACGGACACTTACGTAATAAATGGGAGTGTGGCTCGTCTGTCACACTCCCACGTTTCCTAAGTTTCTGTTTTTTTGCACTGCAGGATAAAACTGGTGGCTCAATTAAGTTCAACAAGTTCAACAATGTTCCCTTCGCAGGATGTGTTTTGTTTTCTTTTGAGCATGTGTGTGTTCTTTTTGGTGCATTTCTGCTATTAAATGTCCTGTGAATGCACTAAAAAAGTGGGATTTTTCACGTCTTTCTCCTCCGAGCGCGGACCTGGCTGCCAGCTGAGCCGAGTCAAAACATTTCCTGCGCTTCCTATACGCGGGAAAAACACAACAAGCACCCTTATTAATAAAGGGCTAACAACAGCTCTGCATCTAGCTGCGTTAGTTCGGTGTTTAATCCACCGACTGATACCCCTTGAGCTTCTATCCCCGTGATTACATTTCTTTTCCCCAAAAAATGCGCCCACACACATAATTCCTGAAAAAAAAAAAAAAAGAAGAAGGAAATAAATAAATAAATAAATAAAATCTCTCCCTCAGCCAGCGATTTCCCATAACCGTTCTCCAATTGGGTTTTAATTCAGGCAGATAAAGAGAGCTGTGGTATTAGGGTTGCCAATCTGCCATTGTAGGTCTCAGCAGGGGGGGGAGCTCAGCTGACAGAGTCCCAGTAAGGCCTCACCAAGAGGGGGGATGACAGCGACGGGCTGGGAGGTAGATTCAGACTGTTTATGTCTCTCTTTCTCCCATTCAGTCCTTATGCTTTTCTCTCTCTCTGTCGCTCTCTTTTTCTCTCTCTTCCGCTGTTTTTTTGGAGAAGGAGAAGCAACCGGAGCAGAACATTAACTCTCTGTGTGATGTTCTTTTTCCACATGACTACGACGCCAGCTATGTAGCTATGTGGTCATATTGTATGCGGATGGTCTTGTTTGGGCAAATCTCCCAGAACATAAAGATTCTCAGAGAAAAAAAATGTGTGCATGTGTGTGTGTGTGTGTGTGTATGTTTATTCTTGTTGGAGTTGAGTTGCCAGTGTCGGATTACAGCGGGATGAAAAGGACTCTGTCCTAATCCTCCCCGGAGAGGGAAGGAAAGGAGAAAATTAGACGAGGAGAGGAGACAAGGAGGGAAGGGGAAAAGGAAACGCAAAGCACTTATTGGGATAGTAGAAGGAAGAGAACGCAAATAAAAGTGGACAATACAGACAAGGAAATGAGTAAAGTCAACCGCCTGGCAGAGCATAAGATCAGGTATTTGGAATTTCTGGATTATCAGTACAGTGTTTTTTAAGACTGATTCCAGATAAAAATTGGTGATCTCGAGCAGATAATATCCTATCAACACTGAAGGACAAATGTTGAAAAGCTCTCTTTTAATTAAACATACGCACAACATAAATGTGACGGATTGTGTTGGAATTGGTGTTATTCTAGTCGAAATATCTGATAATCAGTCTCCTTGCTTCCTAACAATTGGCACTGACCGCACAAGAAACATATCGGTTAACCTCTAAACAAGGTAGGACAAAAAGACTTAGGGGAAGGGCAAGCCGAACAATTAAAGAAAGTAAAAGGAATAGAAAAGAAAGGATTAGTTTCTTCATCTTGCAGTTTTCATTTCAACCCGTCAGACTGGAAAGTGAAACATGTTTTACGAGCGGTGTTGAGAAAAGCCCGACAAGCTCTGGCAGCAGTCTGCACTACCTGCAAGCAGCATAAAATAAACATGCTTGCAAGATTAGATAAGAGTGTGTGTAAAGCAAATCAGTCAGCGAGAGCCGAACAGATGAAAAGGGGAGGGAGGAAAGAGAAATTATTGAAGCATCTAACAAATGAGTGACAGCTGACTGCAGTCAATGTTAATACAATAAAAGGCTGATGCAGGTTTAATTAGGGGCTCAGACCTCGTTGTCGTTCGCAGGCTCTGTCTGTCAGTGGTTCTAGATTGCCGGGCGCACAAAAACAAAGCTGACAGCTACAAATAAGCAAATTAGGGCCCGTCTTACTGGAAGGCACAGACGGGAGTTCGCCACTTATCACCTCTGTACTCCATTCAAGCATCTCCTATTTCTAAACAACGCCTCCCCTCTTGCCTTTCTTGCTCTTTTGTTCTGCCGTTGGGTGTGATTACACAGAGGAAATTTGCCAATTGGTGCTCTGGCTGTTGCTGGCTCGGGTGTTTAGAATATGACAATCGGATAATTCAGATGAGAAAACGGACGACGAGATAGACGGAGACGTGACAACAGCTAACGGTGTTTCTTCATACGCCAAGAAGCGACGTGTTTACATTTTTCTGACAGGTGAGCTGCCGCAGTCGTGATTAATGGCTGCCCTTTCCAGAAAAAAAATGACTCCATCTGTCATTTTGTTTAACGGCACAGTTGGAAACAGTACAAAGCTGTGCTGGTTTGCTCGGAATAAAAGGAATGTTGAAAGTGGCGTGATTTTACCGTGGAAGACGGGATTTGGTGCAGGTATGAAGCAGGCAGCAGGATTTGCTGCAAACAACTCGTCTGTACAAGTTGCAAATGTTTTAATGTAGATTAAAGTAATGCTGCAAACTGTCCTTCACAGCCTCATACTAAAGTCAACTAATTTTTTACTACATTACTCAGCTCTACCTGCCTATAGCTTGATTTTGTCTTTTGTTACGGCGATGGTACATCGAAAAAAGTCATATGGAGTCATTTTTGTAGTTTCTTTTGGACGTTCTAGTCTCTTTGTGAGTAGGAGAGAAAACGTAGGGAACCAATTGGAGGGTTATTTGTCAACGAAACAAGAGTTTGTGGTTAAAAGCAACAGGTTTAGAGGGCCTCTATAAGAGATTTTCCATCTCTTTTCAATTCTTGTGCGAGTCAAGTGAGACATAAGATCAGACGCTTTGATCTGGCAGAGATGATTCAGTGTTCCTCCCAAACCAATGATTCCCAATTAGGCCAAGGCCCCTCACGAAACATTAAATTAGAGGCCTTAAAAAAAATCGTTTCTAAAACAGATTTTTATTCCACAGCTTGTAACTTTCCTCTTTTCACAGCAGTTCCATTCAATATTTTTATTCAGTTTAAATATTGGCTATTTTTATGTTTTATGTAAGTGCATAATATATATGCACAGAAAACTTGGATGTAAACATTATTAAAGCACTGCACACAACATTTCCTGCAAAACACC